GAGACGGAAATTCAGAAATACTGGGATACGTCGGAATCATGATATATGGACAGAGTGAAGTCGGATCAGAAACAGAGACAGTGTTAAGACATAACTCCTTTGTATGGGTTGAGATAACGCGACCCCCATCCCATATGGAGTCAGGAGGGTCGTGGACTATTTTTTCGCCTCAGATGAGGCTTCCAGTTTGGCTTCTGGAGTGACTGTAGCAGCGCGGCCTTTGGCAGCACATGAAGTTGATTTGTTGCAGTCCTGGGCAGTGTGTCCGGGTCCGCCACAGAATAAGCAGAGCTTCTTATCTAAACGCCTCTGGCGTTCCTCAGAAGTTAGTTTTCCATCCTTACCCAACTTGGAGGTAAGGTCCAGGGCCTTTGGAGCGGACAAGGTGGAGGACGTAGTGGGTTTTCCAGGTTTATGTCCGGAATTCTGATTTCCGGATTTGTTACTTCCAGATCCGGACAAGTGGGAGCTGGTCCGGTCAGAGGCTGACTGCTTAGGAGGAGTGGATGAGGAGGGTTTGGTTTCGTGGGAGATCTCTCCCTTGTGTTCCCAATAACAGGCATCTATGGTTTGTGCGAGGGTCTTATATTCTGGGAGGGTAGCGGGTTTTCCCATGTGGCTGATTTTGTCTTTGATATGAGCTGGAAGTCCGTTATAGAATTGTCGGCATAGGGCTCCATCGCCCCATCTGTGGACTTGTGAGGCAAGCTGCTTGAACTCCACAATGTACTTATTGATGCGCTGTCCATCACGCATATTGAGTTGCTTGAGTTGCATTTCCACATCTCCGGAGGGGTCATGAGGTCCGAAATTGGTCTGGAGTTCAAGCATGAACTCGGAATAGTCATCCATCCAGTCCGGACAATCAGTATTCTCGTCAGAAAGGAGGTCTGGTTCAAACCATTCAAGGGCCATGCCTTTGAGATAGGATTGGGTGAAGTTGACCTTAGACCTTCCAGTACAGAAAGCATTGGGTTTGCTCTGGAAATTGAGTTCGCACTGGACAAAGAATGCTCGCAGTTTCCAGGGCTCAGTGCCATCAAAGACATCCAGCTCATGGACTTTGACCTTCGGGTCTTCGGAAAGGGTGGTGCGATGATTGTTTCGGGCGAGGTTGTTGATAGCTCTGGATAGGAGTACCATGATGCGGTCCTGCGGATTCAGGCCATCGTCTTCATCGTCATCATCATCATCATCCAGATCATTGTCCAGATTTCCACCATTCCCATCCGGCAGATTTCCGCCAGGGGTATCATCATCTTTATCATCATCATCATCGTTGTCCGGATCTCCTTTGCCCAGAGGGGCCAAGGCTGGAGTCCATGTAGGGGTTTCCGGATGTTGACGACTCAGGAGTTCTGAGATGCTTCCAGCAGTAGCACACTGGCTAACACGATGCTGAGAGAAGCTATTGAAGGTCTCGATGATAGGGGTAGAATCCTGGCAGGCAAAAACTAGTCCAGCTGCTCGGAGAGGGTTTGTTGTTTTGGTAGGAGCCATGATAGATGTAAGTATACTGAGAAAGGTGTGAGTTCAAATATATTGTTAAGGTTGCGTGCTCAAGGGGGTTGGATCACAAGGGCTTGGCCTCAGCTCGTACGCTGTGCCCCTGTCCTGAGTATGTGCCCTTAATTTCTGGGGGCTAGAACAGTCGTCCGGAGTTTCCAGGTTTTGACTAGGGCAGATAATCGACGTCCAGATCTGAAACGTGAGATAAATCCGACAGATGTCTGGATGTTACCCAGGCAAGTGGATAAGACTAATCCGGACAAGGTCCAGACTAGAAACTAACAGAGGATGGACTACCCTAAGGTAGAGTCGGAAATGTAGTCTTAGGATGCAATCCTAAGACTCGGAATATGACAAGAGACTTATCTTGAGTCCGGAGGACACAGGAATGAGCAGGAACTAAGATGATATTTGAACTGGAGTATTTCTGAGAGTTACAGGAGGTTTATATACTGTAGGTATCATATAGGAATCAGTCAGCAAACATAAAGGCTATGTACAAAGCATATGCAGAGTCTATTAGTAAGTAGGACAGATCACAAATAATGAACACCAGAAATGAAATGTATGTAATGGATCAATAATCAAAAGGGAAACATGGTTAACCAGAGTCTGGAGACAGGGGCAGTCTAAATGGAGTTGGGCACTGATATAGGGTTTGGATTCTGGAAGGGAGATAAAGATAGATCAGATCATTTGAGATCCAGATCTCAGATCCAGATATCCGGAGAAGCAGATTTAGAGTTGAGAGTCCAGAATGGCATATGACAATTGATCCTTGTATGAGTCCTCATCTCCGAGTTCATTTACTTATGTTCCAACTTACTTACTAATGTGTTTCCACATGCTCATACATAGCCTTGCTCCTTTGCTTACTGATCCCCTCAGATATTATTCAGTATATAACCCCTGTAAATACTCCTGTAGTTCCTCAGTTTGAATATCAACTTAGACTTGCCCAATCCTCTCTTGGACTTTGGTCCACCTAAGTCTGTCCTACCCATCAGGCCTAGGGATTGATTCCCTAGGCTGGAGCTCTACCTTTCCAGCACTTACCCTCTTTCCGGACTTAGGTCCAATCCCTGTCTCTCCAACTCTACCTTAGGGTAGTCTACCTCTGTTTGTTTCTACATTGGACTTTGTCCGATGTAGCCCCTATTCCTTCCAGACCTCCTGTCCTTTGGACATCCTGTCCTTCGTACCTCTGGACATCCTGTCCTTCTGTCCTCCGTCATCCTGCCCTCCTGCCCTCCTGTCCTCCTGTCCTCCAGACCTTTTGGACCTCCTATCCTTCCACCCTGTTTCCTGTAGAAGTATTACCTTGCAGTGGGAACTCTCCTGAGCACTTCCTGCACTCCTCCGGAACTCTCCCACGCTCCTCCGGACGTTTCCCGCGCTCCTCTGGAAGTCCTCTAGCACTCTCCAGCAGAGTAGCCAGCCTCCAGAAGTCCTCCAGACTTTGTCGGACCATCATCGGACCTCATACAAAATAAAGGGCACATACCTGGGTAAGGGGCACAGTGTACGAGCTGAGGCCAAGCCCCTCTGAGTCAGTCTCTCTCCCCCTTGAGCAATATGGTTCTTAACACTTGAGCAACATGGTTCTTAACAAGGATCTAAGATGATATTCAAACTCAGGAAACTACAGGAGTATCTACAGGGGTTATATACTGGAGAATATCTGAGGGGATCAGTAAGCAAAGGAGCAAGGCTATGTATGAGCATGTGGAAACACATTAGTAAGTAAGATGGAACATAACTAAATGAACTTGGAGATGAAGACTCATACAAGGATCAATAAGCAAGATGGAACAAGAGGTAACTGAAAGCCAGAAAGGTGGAGATGTCTAAATGGGGATAGGCACAGGATATCGGACAGAGGGCAGAAATACATCTGGAGATAGTTACAGTTAATATCTGGAGGTCCGGAGATCTGAGGATCCAGAAGATGAGGTGGATACAGGACCAGGATATGAGGAGGTGGATATAGTCTGGAATCCAAGACAAGGTGAAGTCCAGATGTCTTGCTGGATGGAGTGTGCATAGGGTGGATGGGATAGGGTGGTATGGATCAGGCCAGCAGTGAGGGTCCGGAGGTCCAGAGCTCAGGGGTAAATCCGGAGCAGAGTTGATCCTGCTGAGGTGTGGAGCACACAGCAGAAGGGGATCTGGGAATGAGTCAGATATGGGGTCCAGACATAGGCTCGGAAGGCGTGGGAATATTATGGAATGTGGGTCCAGATTGTGGGATATGACAGGTTGAATCATTTGGAATAGATGCTGATAATGGTCTGATGGATATAGACTCATACAGCATGCCCAAGGCTGACTTGGAAATCCCACTGTCTGAGCACTTATCCAATATTGTTGGAAGTTGGACATATGAGTTCAATGAACACTTTACTGATCTATTTGCTGAACTGCAAGGGAATCTTGCCTCCAATGAAATCCCCTTCTTGACACCACTTGCCCCCATCAACAAGGAGGATGAGTTATGTGACTACAGCACACCTGACTTTGGGATCAGTATTTTTGGTGAGTGGATTCAAGTTATTTATTTCATGCTATTTTGTATCCAAATGCATTCACAGACTATGAACCTCCAGCAAAAAAATACCCTCTCAAAGACATCACTCCTGATAATCCAACTTACCCCTGGCCATCACAAGTGGTGAGTATACTCACTGTTATTAGTTGTACAACAAATATTTACAATCTTAAGGATTTTGTGACATCACTTCTATTCAGCTCTCCATGCCTTCCCTTTTCTGATGCCCAGAAAAAAGTGGTACTTAATTGGGCAAGAGAGCTTGGTACTCAAAATGTGCCCTCACTCAATGCAACCAAGAAGTGTCAACTATTTGTTGAAGATCTTGTTGGTCAGCCAACTGAGAAGGTTACTGCCCAGTGAAGGTTCAACAACTCTGCTGAGCTACAGAGCAAAAGAAAGAAAGAGGGCTCTCACTCTGGGGTGAGAGGAAGGCCTACTGACTCTCTAGATGTTGGTTGAAGTGCACCAAGTGATATGTTCAACCCTTAAGGGAGGCAAGGAAAGCAAGGATCCACGAAGTGACACCAGGTCAACTCTGGTGAAGCACGCTGGGAGTGTGTAGGAGCATGAAGTGTGGGAATAAGGCACAAGCTGTGCACAAACATATAAGAAACTGGTAGATGTCATGAGGACATGAACTAAGGCTGCTGAGTGGACTGGTGATGATAGACTTGGGCTGAGGACTAGGGCAATAACTCTGATAGATGCTAACTCATGGTGATGGATTCTGACTGCTAGATGCTGATGGACATGATGGTGGTTGATGTATGAAAACTTCCTAGGCCACAGGTAAGCTGTGCCTAGGCATGCTCCCAGGGCTCAGAAGTGAATAGGGAGCACTCTATGTATGTAAGTGAGATAAGGACAGGGTCCATAACAAAATAATGTCATACATACAGTGGCTCAAAAAAGTGTCTCAATGTTTGTGACTTTTTGTGTAATTGCTGTATTATGAGCTAGGGTGTGAGAATATGACTAAGCCATAGGGAGGTGTGGGAAAGCTCTGCTTCTAAGTTTTATGTTTGATCCCTCTAGCATGAGAAAATTATGTCATCAAGTGAGGATATGGTTAATTTAATTTGGTGACTCATTGAGACACTTTTTTGACTTTCAGTTTGACCAACACAATCTCTATAATTCTGGTACTTGGTATTTCCTCCTGTTGCTCTAATCACTTCTGCCACTCTTCTATGCATACTATCTATCAATTTGAGGCATTCCTCATCAACAATCTTGCCCCACTCTGCTGCAACTCTCTCCACAGCTGAAATAACCCCTATTGAGGATCTTGATAGACTGCAAGTGATATCTTGAGTAATTACCAGGGCTGTTTAATAGGGTTGAGGTCTGAGGACTAGACTTGCCATGATAGAACACTGATACCATAGTTTTCAAACCATTTGATGGTCAACTTGAAGTATGCTTAGGGTCATTATCTTGTTAGAAGGTAATGTTTTCTTCATTAATTCTTGATTCTTGCATGCTTCTGAGCAGATCCTTTTCCAAAATTGAAATGTGCTGCTTTGCATTCATCCTCCCCCCGACCTCACAGAGAATTCATACTCCATTCCACCTCATACAACACCATACCATCAAGTTTCCTACTCCATACTTTAGTGTTTTCTTGATCTTTCTTTCTTCTAGTAGTTCTTCTGCATTTCATTATATATATTCCTAGCCATCTGGCCCCATCCTATTGATTATTGTCTCATCTGACCATGTAGCCCTATTCCAGTCCTCAACAGTCCAATATTAAGGCTTTAAAGCAAAGGCTAATCTCCTTCCTATATAGGCTGAAGACAGGAAAGGCTTTTCTGCCTGTTTACAGCTTTAAGATTGGCTGCCTTAAGAGTACCCCTGACTATTTGAGTGGAGAGAGCAGTGTAGATGATGTAATTAATGAATTTGGTGGCTTGAGTAGCATTGGCAGCCTGCCTAGTTGGAATATTATGAACAAGAGATTTTTTGTTATATGATGTAAGCTTGAAAGGACAATTTAATTTGATATTTTTCTTATCTGGAATGACTTTTTTATGATCCTAATGATAGCAACCCTGCTCAGACCAGTTTTAGTAGCAATCTGCCTGGTATACAGATTAGAAAAGCTGATGATAATAACAATAGGGGCTATTTCAGCTGTGGAGAGAGTTGCAGCAGAGTGGGGCAAGATTGTTGATGAGGAATGCCTCAAATTGATAGATAGTATGCATAGAAGAGTGGCAGAAGTGATTAGAGCAACAGGAGGAAACACCAAGTACCAGAATTGTAGAGATTGTGTTGGTCAAACTGAAAGTCAAAAAAGTGTCTCAATGAGTCACCAAATTAAATTAACCATATCCTCACTTGATGACATAATTTTCTCATGCTAGAGGGATCAAACATAAAACTTAGAAGCAGAGCTTTCCCACACCTCCCTATGGCTTAGTCATATTCTCACACCCTAGCTCATAATACAGCAATTACACAAAAAGTCACAAACATTGAGACACTTTTTTGAGCCACTGTATGCTAAATATGGTCTGATAGTGAGAATAAATGAAAAGGGACTCACTAGGGGACTGGTTGGACAATGGATGCTCCAGGATGCTGTGCAACAAAGTGCGACCAAGCACAGGAAGAGCACATGAATATGTCGCATAGTGCAGGAAAGCGTCATGCCTCTGGCGTGTTTCGTGGGAAAGTCATAGAGGATGAGTTGCACACTATACCAATCATCATGAGTTGAAATATGTGCGATCTATGCCTAGGGGAATCTCATTCTCTACGCTGGTCAGGAAATATATTATTAATGATATTGCAAATGCAATTGCAAAGGTTCATCTACTGCTGCTTCAAGTTAGAGTGTTGTATGTATGTTATATTCCAGGGCTATGCAAATCCACTTACACATTTCGCAATGCAAGACTATCCTAAAGATGGTGGGAAAGGGATGTTGCAGGTCTTCAATGGCACAAAAATGTTACTTAATCTTCCATCTCCTCCCACAGCTCAAGTGGATGGGATGATATATGTTGTCAATGAGTTGTTACAGGATTCTTCAGGAGCCTCCTTTATCCAAGAGCAGTTTTTCCTTGGCTCTCCATTTGTTGAGGGTGGTGTTGAGGGTCCCAAATAATCTGATGGCAAAATCCTCTATGCACTCAGTTGGGCTGCTCAACCAACTGATGTGAGTGAGCTTCATTGTGTTATGTACAAATTTAAATGGTTCAACAGGCAGGATTCATTATTAATGATAAACAGGAAATCATCCCAACTTTGATGTTTGCATGGTCATATGAAGATATTTCATCAACAAATGAGCTTGACTGTGGACTCACTGGTGCATTAGATCATTTGGTTGCCTTTTTCAGTGTATGTGAACTTATGTATGTATGCAACTGTGTCATCTGCTAAATATGGGTCACTTGGGCCTAATCCATTGCATGAAAAGGCACAAGGCCAAATAGTATATGTGGTGTAGAGACTTGCACCTCTGTATGGCCATTATAGGACAATACACCACCCCTCCCTACACACACTCCAGCTCTGATCCTTAGGATAAGTTACTCATGCTAATGCACAAGCATCACACACACACAAATGCACTTGCATGTCCTGTGTGCCTGCCCCAGGTCCTCTGTTACAGTCCATCCATCCATCCATCCATGTCCTTGCTAAGTCCACTGGTATGTTCTTATTATGTTTTTATTACTCTGATATATCTTCTGGACCGACTACAGTGCTGTAAGCATGTACATGCGCACTTAGGCACCATTACATACAGATATCACTACCTACTTGCTTTGCTTCTGCACTACAAGCATTGCCTAGCATTCAATATAGAGAAGGGACTTATAGTTTTTTAGAACACCTTTTCATAGCATTCCCTACCTCTGTGTAGTAGGAATAGTTTGTGCTCTAGAGCAAGTTTGAAGCCTTCTGAAGTCCAAATTTGCACATGTGCTTGCCTAGATGCAATCACCCTGCGTCAGTCTGATCCTCCTGTCACTGGATTTAGTTTCCAGTTAACCTTCAGCCTCTACACTTCAGACTCCCATCACACACACTCTCACTTTCTACCACCCCAGCACACTTTCATGTGCATCCCTACCACACTTCTTTTAGTATTCATGCTTCATGTGTGTTTTAGCACATGTTTGGTTTCAGAGTCTCCTTCTGTCTTTTCAAGGACTCTCTTTCAGTAGCTGTCCTTTGGGTCAAGTTCTGTCTCACATCCAGGTTTTGCTGTAGAGTTCCCCTAGTAGTAGTCTATTTCTCTCATAGCCCTTAGTCCTCACCTTCAGCAGTTCCTCTGATAATTTTTATGGACAATGTTTTGGGAAATATTTTGAAGCAATGGAATAAACACCACACAATTTACATGTTGAATGTGAACTTACCCTGTGAAATACTCAAGAAGGAGTTCTTTGTATGATTCATCACATCATCACCCCATGCTGCTCCAATGGAACTAATATGAGCAATGAAAGATTCTTTTTGGTACATTTTTCTGGACTTGTTCTGTATTTTTCTTGAGTATTTGCAGTAATGCAGCACAGTCTGGCATTGTTATGTGGGACTGTAAGGATGAGGAGGTCATACTTATCCCATGTGGACTTTTTCTTGCTGGTGACAACTCTATGCAAGCCAAGGAATGCAGTCATGCAGGTCTCAATTGCAACTATTTTTGCAGGACATGTGATGTCAGTGGCACAAAAGAATACAAGGCATCTGAAGAAGGTTACAATAGTATATTCAAGGTGTGGACATATCAGTGTCTTTCACCTGATCTAATCTTGTACTCATAGTCTTGTAATTTACAAACACCCAAAAAGACCACCAAAGACATTCAACATTAATTTGAAGCTGCAATGAAATTGGGTGCCACAACAAAAGTGCAGAATGCTGTTTCTTCCACAGGTGTTTGTGACAGTGCCTCAGCATCCATCCTTGAGCCTCTCATAGAACTCAGAAAGAAACTTTGTAAACAAGGGTCAGGCTTACCAGCAGCAGCCAAAAGCAAAATCACAGCAGTGCTTGAAAAGGAGTTTGAGGAATCATTGTGAGGCACCACACTCAATGATGCAATGAATCCACTGCTTAGGATGAATGGTAAGCTTGATCAATAACATTTGTGTCACACTCACAATGTTGTCCCACAGAGATCAACATGCACTTGGATATGCCAACCAAAACCCTCCATATAATATTGTTGGGTGTGGTGAAGTACTTTTGGGGTCAGAGTGTGTTTCTCCTGGAGAAAGAAAAGCTCCTGCACATCTTTCAGAGCTGCCTCAAGTCTGTTAACAAAGACAGACTGAACATACCTTCTCTGAATGCTGACTATATATGTCACTATAAAGGCAATTTAATTGGCAAACATTTCAAGAGCCTGGCCCAAGTTATGCCCTTCCTGGTGTATGACCTTATTGTCATATCTGCATATCCAGATCTCAGATCTGATCCTTATCTCATCTCAGATCCAATCCACATCTTATCTCCGATCCTATCCACATCTTATCTCCCTCCAACATCTTGTCATCCAATCTGTCCACTTGTCCGGTCCAGTCCACAATTCATCCAAATCCACAACCAGTGCTCATCTCCTTTCGGTAATCCCCTAACTCCAGTATTTCGGCTATCTGTATATCTGTCCTGCTCCCTGATCTGTTACCTATGCTTCATTTCCGTTTCATGATTTGTGATCCAATTCTACTTACCAATAGACTATCCATATGCTTCGTACATAGCCTTGGACTCTGCTGATTGATCATTCCATTAGATACCTATAGTATATAACCTCCTGTAACTCTCTGTAGCACCTCAGTTCGAATATCAACTTAGTTCTGCTCATTCCCATCCTCTGGACCTGAGTATCCCTACTCTTGTCACCCTCCGAGACTTAGGATTGATTCCTATAGTCTATCTGCATCTGCCTCTGTCTACGACAGCCACTACCACTAGTTTCTAGTCTAGATTCATCCAGATTAGCCCTATGATACTTATCCCTCATCCAGAAGTCATCTGGATCCACTACACTACTCATCTGACCTTCTGGACATGTTAGTCTTACCTTCCTGAAATAAGGGGCAATACTCAGGTAAGGGGCACAGCGCACAAGCTGAGGCTGAAGCCCTTAGGATCCATTAACCCTTGAGTATGACCTTAACACTCATCCCTCAGACAGTTGTCAATGGATGGTCTGTTATTGGAGAACTTGTCACACTTGTTTGGTACACAACAATACCAGATACCGATGAATATCTTGTTAGTTTGCACTACCAAAGTGTTAAAAGGTGTTGTGGATTGATTGATCTTCTTTAAACAAACAAGGTTATCCCAAATGATCAAGGACTTTCTTAATATCACAGTGCAATGTGCTCCAAGCATTCTCATCAGCAAGCCCAAGTTTCACTTCTTAATTTATCTTCTGGCATTCATATGTCATTTTGGACCTGCAATCATATTCTCCACCAAGAGATATGAATCACTTAATCACGTTTTCTGATTGTCATGTATTCACAGTCATCGACATGCACCCAGCAGGGATACTTGTTGACTCTTTGCATACCAAGACATTGTGAAACACATCATCACTGGTAGATATTGGTTTGATCACAATGTCAAGAAATAGGTTCACAGAAGAGAGCAGGTGCTATGTTATCTCAATGAACACCCAGAACAGGCCCACCTTCTCAGTATATCAAGTATCTTGTGTGAGCCTCCACTACCTGGTGAGTCAGGCAACATATTGTTGTGATTTCACTCAAGTATACATAGGCACTGGAAGTCTTGATACTGTCATTGGCACAAGTGGAAAAGTGCAAATAATAGATGGAGTACAATGGAAGGATACTCATTGTGCAAAAATCCTCAAGACCCCTCAATCTGGTGTGACAGTCAAGTTTTCCTTGGGCTTAGATTTACTTACTTTACTTACCTTTACCTACCCTCACTTTCATTAGTTTAAGTTCGCATTTTTGCTGCCTACTTAAGCATGTCTCTCTTTCACTAGTGTCAGTACCAGTCTGAATCAGAATCCTTTTTGATGATAATTTCTACTCTCTGAGCTTTGAGCCAAGTCAGAATCCCATGGGCTGAACATGCTGCTCTCCACTCAGCAGCTTGGCCAGTTGTTTTGTGATTCCCACACCAGTGTTTCCTACTACCATGGCAAATCACTTGTGACAAGCAAGGGAGAACAAGTGGACTTGAATGGTCATGTCATTTTCCAATGACCTGCAAATGAATAGGTAAATGATTTTGAGCCTCTCTGTAATCAATTATTGATGTGTGTGCAGATGTCTATTGGATGTATCCACAAGATCCTCATATCACACAACATCCATAAAACTGTGGATCATGTCACACTGCAAGTCTTTTCATTTGGACCTACATTACATCCTTCAATCTTTCTACCATGTCTTGACTTTGTGAGAGATGAAATAGTTTCAATGGCAGCAGTAAGTAATATGTCCTGAAACTCAGAGTTGTCTGTTGAAGATTACTGCATTACAGAATATCATTTGCACTATCAATCTTCAACACAACTGCATCGATTCCAAGTGCATAAACATGTACCAGCAACATGTACATCAAGAACAGATCCAAACCACTTGAACAAAGCCTGTTGTTTGCCATCAGCCCACTCTGCACTTTTTCCTCAATACCTACTCAATTCACAACTGTGATCATATCTGACTGGTTATACCTGAGGCACTTCACAAGTCACCATTGAGGGTCACCAATCCAGCTGAGGTTCAGACTTTAGCTGTACAGCAGATGAAAGACAAGAAGGCAGTGAAGAAATTAGGTGACACCACCAGGCCTCAAGAAGGTGTGACCACCATGGAGGAAGGTATCCACAATGCAACTGCACCACTTCCTGCCTTTGATTGCACTCCCACCAAAAAGGCAGCCACCAAGCCAAGAAAGGATGCAAGCAGTGCCAGTACATGAGGCAGAAGGAAGACAATATCATCAGATGTTGGGCAGCCCATTGCTAGGACCTTAAGATACATGTCTCCACCCACTCAGCAGGGTCTAATGGTCCCATCCCACCAATTCATGCCATCTTCACTGGAAGCCTTGTATTACCCTCCATCACTGCCAATGGGACCTTCACTGCAAGCCCTACATCATCATCAGGCTCCTTTTCTGCCATCAATATCATACCCCAACACAGGTCCTCAAGGAGCACATGTTGCATCCCTTATGCACCCCACTCACACAGTCACATTCCCCAGCTCATAACCTCCTCTGGCAACATACCAGCCCCACACCTCTCTACTAGGTTTGCAGCCTTGCACTGCACATGCATAGATGTACCCAAACCACCAACAGCAAGCTTGGATGGCTCAGGCTCATGTGTAGGCCATCCACACTCACATGCAGTCACAGGCACAGCACCTGCAGTATTTCTCAGACTATTCTATGCATCCTCAGGGAACATGAACATGGACATGCAGACAGTAACAGGAGAGATATCAAGAACCTCTGGCAATGGGAGTGTAAGGGTCACATATTCTCTATGCCCCAACCATAACTTCATACCAACTATGCTGGGACCTGTCCAGTAAGCCATATGACTCACTGATGCAAAGAAGTCTTACTCTTCACATTTGAGTCATGTGGATACATTGTCTTTTTGTCTTGACATTCAGTATCTTTCCTTACTCTTGTATCACACCACCTCTGTTCCTTTATCAAAAGTATTTTCACTTCACCTTCAACTATTTTCATGCTGGATCCAGCTTACACAAAGTATTCAAAATGTATATAAACTGCCCATGTACACTCATACCTTAGTGAATCATATAGTGCGACTCCCACTCCAAGTACAACTGAATGCCTCCTAGAAAGCCCCTCTCTCAAAAACCCAGTCCTATCTCTATCTTCATGTCATCTACTGATGCAACTCATATTCAGTCAAGAATCATTTACCAATTCCCTGCTGAACTCTCCTGCAGCATTACATATTGGAGCCCACTACGAGGGAGTTGTTTTTGAATGATTCCTTGCATCCCAAGACTGATTTGCTGATCTTCTTTTGATCTTCTAGTCTCTCTCTTAAAAATCTGGTCATTTTACCAACTCTCACAAAACCATTTCTAAGTACTACCACTCCCATGTGCAGTCATGTCTCGAACTGCAACAAAAGCCATCTGTGCTGGCATCCTCAAGCAATACTGTACCTCCAAAGAAACAAAGATCCCATGCCCACACTCTCAGTGCATTGCCTAAGTCAATCTTAGAAGAACCTTCCTCTCATAACCTTCCTTGAACACCAATCCACCACCAATGCATCAAACTGCCTCTAGATAATTCAGAAGGA